GACGACGACAAATAATCATGGACTGATGAATGGCCCGTGTGCGCAAGCTGGATCTTACGTAGTGGGCCCTGGAAACGACAAGGCCGTTTTTTTACTGGTTCCGTTTTGCCGTTGTTTTGCTGGTTCTGTGTCTGCTGGTTCCGTCGCCGATGCTTATCCGGCTCTGGTTTCGTTTCCCATCCCGGGGCCGCTTTTATGCATGGGTCATAGAATGGTCGGGGCGGAGGGGAATCGAAGATCGACGTGGATCAATTTCCCGTTTTTCTTGTAGAAGTACAATAGCAACAAAAGCATACAAGCATTCGGAGCCGAGATCGGTCAAGCGATACAAACACTCGGAGCCGCGTCAGCACGTCGTCCATCGCAGGGGCCACTAACCTTAGACTGCCGAGCGGCGCGGCATACTACCTCGCTAAAACATGCAAGCCTGATGGCGCGTGTACGCTGAAACAGGCCAAGGGAAACAGTCTCGCAACGCGCGCTTACATGGCGACACTTGGTCAGTCATGCGCCATGCGCCATCCGTTCGAAGCCATGCGCCATGGGCCAGTCTTTGCCGACACTTCATGGACGAAAAACAAGTTCTATTGCGCACTCAAGGGCTGGTGGGCCAGATCCCCACCACGCTTCACAAGCACTGCTTGCAATGGTTTGGGTTTTGCGCTCCGCTCGGGATGCGTCAAACAACGAGGCCGCGAGAACACGAGACCACTGAAGGCGGCACCGCCCGAGAGAATGCTGTTTGTCACGGAGGCGCCGTCGGCAAGGGTTGTCGGGGCCCCTGCTTCTGTGTAAAGGGGCCCAGGTCAGACACAAATCCCAGCATTCCCATTTATTCATATATTTTGTAGGTTTTCATCGTCCCCCCCATTTTCCATATCTTCCTTCATTTTCATGGGAGTCGACGATTAATTGTGTCTGTGTGTGTTTCCCTTCCAGAGGATCGCCGCTTCCCCCCGCCGAGGGTGGGGCGCTCTGCCAAAAACAAGTTTTGTGCAAAACAGGATCCTGCCGCGGCCGTCGCCTCCAAAAAAGGTTCCAGGCTCCATTGTCGTGTGCGGTGGGGGTCCTGCGCGGTCGGGGATCCCGTGCAGTCGTCCGTGAGGCTCCGCCCAAGGGGGTCTTGGGCTCCCTCTCTCTGTGCGGTGGGGTTCTGTGCGGCCGTCCCCGGTATCCCGCCCTTGAGAGGTCCCAAGCTGAATCTTGTCCTGCGTGTGTGGGGTCCTGCGCGGTCGCCAAGCGGGTCCCGCCCGCAGGCTCGCAAGGCCGCCTGCCCCATGCGGTTGCACGGGGTCCGGTCCAGTCCTGGCCTGGACTTTCAACTGGCACCACAGGCATAACAACGGCCACCACGTGAGGAAC